GGTCTAGAATTGAACCCACTCCTATAGCTTCCAGCCAAACAAAAGAGACATATGAACTGAACATTTATATTAGATAGATGCACTCCTTGGAGAGATCAATCATGGGAGAATAGAAGGGCTATGTATGCACAGGGAGACAGTTCAGAGGTCAGGGGTACATGGGAGGGAAGGACACAGGGAAGAGGTAACTATGAGGAGAAAGAGGGATGGGAGCTGTTGCATTGTGAGAAATTGCAGTCAATGTCATGAGACAAAGCATATGTGAGCTGTTGCATGTTGTTGTTGTTGTTAAGTGCCGTCGAGTCGTTTCCGACTCATAGCGACCCCATGCACAGCAGAACGAAACACTGCCCAATCCCGCGACAGCCCCACAATCCCTGCTATACTTGAGCCCATCATTGCAGCCACCGTATCAATCCATCTCCTTGAAGGCCTCCCCCTCTTTCGTCGACCCTCCACCCTACCAAGCATAACATCCTTCTCCAGGGAATGGTCCCTTCTTACAACATGACCAAAATAGGTGAGACGAAGTCTGGCCATTCTTGCTTCCAAGGAGCATTCTGGCTGCACTTCCTCCAGGACAGATCTGTTAGTTCTTTTAGCAGTCCATGGTACTTTCAGCATTCTTCGCCAGCACACAACTCAAAAGCATCAACTCTTCTTCGGTCTTCCTTATTCATTGTCCAGCTCTCACATGCATACCAGGCGATCGGAAATATCATGGCTTGTGTCAGGTACACCCTAGTCCTCAAGGAGATATCCTTGCTCCTCAGCACTTGAAACAGTTCCTTCGCAGTTGACTTCCCCAATGCTACACGTCGTCTAATGTCCTGACTGCTGCTTCCGTTGGCATCGATTGTAGAACCAAGCAACGTGAATTCCTTGACAACCTCAATCTTCTCTCCATTTATTGTGATGCTGCTCATTGGTCCAGTTGTGAGGATTTTTGTTTTCTTTATGTTGAGATGTAATCCATACTGCAGACTGTATTCTTCAACCTTCATCAGTAGGTGCCTTAAGTCATCCTCACTTTCAGCAAGCAAAGTTGTATCGTCTGCATATCTCAGGTTGTTAATGATTCTTCCTCCAATCCTGATACCACGTTTTTCTTCATATAGTCCAGCTTCTCGGATTATTTGCTCAGCATATAGATTGAATAAGTGTGGAGAAAGAATACAACCCTGACGCACTCCCTTCTTGATTTTAAACCATGTAGTGTCCCCTTGTTCTGCTTGAACAGAACAAGGTTCTTGAGCTGCTGTATAGAAAGTGAATTTGCTCTGTAAAGTTTCACCCAAATCACAATAAAATTTAAAAAAAAAAAAAAAAAGCCATCTCCAAGGCAGAAAGGGAGATCTCTCCACCATCAAGATAGAAGGAACGGCCAGGAGTGGACACTCCTTGGACCTGAGATACCTGTGCTGGACCTCTTTGCCACAGAGACTGCAGCAGCAGAGGCAGCAGAACCAAGAGACCAGCATGAGACAGAAAAGCAAGCTGGCAGGCCCACAGAGTGAGAAAACTGGGTGCCTTTGGGCAGTGCTGCTTGCTGGCAGAGTGGAGTACACTTACTGGCAGACCTAAAAGAGTTTTTAACACTTGCCTAAACAGGGCACAAGCCAGCCTGAGAGGCCAAGGGCCAAAGGGAGGCATGCCTACGGGCATGGTCAAGGCGAGGCTGTTCCCATCAAAGAATTGTATCCTGAGTGGTCCTGAACCTGAATTTTAACCTATTGCTTCCCTAATAAACCCCATGAGCCTGAGCCTAATTGTAACAAATTACCGAACCCAGCAGAGAAACAGAGTGCTATGGGAGGCATGGAACTCTGGTAGCATAGTGCCTAAGGCACTTACTTGCTCAACATAATGTCTTCAAGCTCCTTCATACTGTATGTACCAAGACTTCATTTCTCCTACTGGCTGAGTAGTATTTCATTGTATCTATGTGCCACTATTTGTTTATCCATTCATCTGTTCACGGCCATTAAGTTGTTTCCACCTCTTGTTTAGTATGAATAGTGCTGCAGTGAATATCAGAGTAAACCAAAAAAACCAAACTCACTGCCGTCAAGTCAACTTGATTCATAGTGACGCTTCCTTTGGTTTCTGAGGAGGTATTGCTACAGAAGTATTGTTGTTGTTGTTGTTATATGCCATTGAATCGGACCCGACTCATAGCGACCCCTCCTTGGGTTTATGAGGAAAACCAGAAGGGTTGACTACAAACCAGAAGGATGTGGGGAAGGAGTTGTCCTACCTCCTCTAACCTCACAGGGGCAAAATAACTTCACAATAGGCTTATTCTTATAAAGCAGACGTCAGACATGCCACCACCCTCCAAACTTTTTACCAATTCTGACACTACCTAACCCTCCCACCCACTAACCACTGCCATTGAGTCAGATCCGACTCATAATGACCCCTCCTTGGGTTTCCAAGGTGGTATCACTATGGAATCAGATTGCCCAACCTTCCTTCTGAGGAGTGGCTGGTGGGTTTGAATTGCCAGTCTTCTGGTTAGCAGTCAAATGCCTTAGGCACTATGTTACCAGAGCTCCTCTTTCAATATTATGAGAAATATTTTAATATTGATGAGTAATTAATTACAAAGAATAAAACAATCTTAAAAATTAGACAGCCATTCATTGACAATCACATATTAATCGTTTGAACAGCAATAAGCCAGTTCTAATCACAACATTTGTGCACCAAATGAACAAGTGATAACTTCAGACTGTTTTAGATAAAAGTTATATTTTAAAATTATAAACTTATACAAGTAAGCATTAAACATGCAAGTTCAGTTGATATTTAGTTTTTAGTAACATTTGTTTTCTCTACCTTTGCAAACCTATTTCTGATCAGAAAAACATGTGACTACAGAGTATAAAAGTCCAATGACAGAGTGTCCTGAGCTGTGTGGTATGGAAGGACATGAGCGAGTCTTTGAAATTCCTAGATAGACACAGGAATTATCTTTTAAGAGACTATGTTTAATAATCAACATTTCATCAAATAAATGGATTACACTGAGATTAAAATATTTTGAATATAAAAGTAAAACAAGTCTCCAGACATGAGCTGTCTTTCAGCTTTTTTAAAATCTCAAGAGGGATCATTGAGACCATTCAAATTTATGCATAACTGAATAAGAAACTGAGTCACAGATTCTCATTGTCCAATTGATCTAAACATTGGCATACTGTCTTCTCTTTTTCAAAGCTTGTCATGGGGTCAAATGAAGGAACAAAGAAAGAATTTTCCTGTTCTTCATGCTGTGATGTAGGGTGGTCTCTAATGATTCTGAAGTGTGTGGGGAAAAGCACTGAAGAAGTATTGGGAGATGGATAGGAAAGTAGATGCTTCCCCAGAAAGTACTGGGATGCCACCGGTCACTAACATGCTCACTTTTTTTTTTTAATTGCAGTAAATATACATGCAACAAAACATTTACCATTTTAACAGTCTTCACATATGTAGTTCTGTAGCATTAATTACGTTCATCATGTTATTCAACCATCAACCTTATCTGTTCCCCAATTTTTCCATCACCTATAACAGAAGTTCAGGGTCCCCTAAGCATTGGTCCTCTTTTCCTACTTCCTCTGCCCATTTCTGGTAACAACTAATAAACTTTGGTCTCTATATCCTTGCCTATTCTGGATATTTCACATAAGCAAACATGTTCATTTTTGAGCTCTGCAGGAAATTCATGTATACTTTCAACTTAGAGGAAGCTCATTCCCTTGTGTAAGCTGGAATGATCATTCTAGAAAACCAGTAATAAGTCCCTGACAGACCTGTCCTGCTAAACTGGTCATCCCAGTATACTTTCCTGCTCCCACAAGGCTGCATGAGCCTCTGCCCAGTTTGGTTAATTGATATTAATAAACATAATTAAGTTCTCTTGAAGGAGAGCTTGTTCTCATCCTTTTGAACTTCTAGAGTCAAGTATACACAATTGTTTCTGGTTTATCAGAATTGCTACATATTCTGTTTATCATACATTTTATTTGCTTATATATAAATATATATAGTTCATTTTTAAAATTTCATATCTGGAAGAAGATTGAAAATATTTTTATAACATTTCCAATGTAAGAATTGAATTCCAGTTATTTCTAGATAACTGGAGAGCAAATATTTATCATTCAATTTATCCTAAAATAAATTTTGCTTTCTAATTAATGCTCTAGGTTAACATTTGCTTTTTGCTGTCCATATATTCAGTATATAATCATATTAAAAACTGCTTTACTGACACTTTACTTCTCTTCATTTTTATTTTGCAAGCAGAAGAATGTTTTGGACTCAAATTTATTTTATCACTTATTCTACTCCAGGAAAATCTGGTGAGGGAAGGCCTTGCTTTATTTCTAGGAGATTTGTCTGTTTCCAAAACTGAGTTTTGTTCACATCTCACTTCCTTCAATGCTCTCTCTACTCTGCAGAGTCCTTTGAAACCTAAATTCTCTTACTGAATCCTCTGCTTCATGGGAAATTTTATGAGTTGTAATTCTTCCTTCAATAACATAGAAAAGTTGTTGTCTATGTTAAGGAGGCATTAACAGGATATAGAATAGCTATGACTTTGTTTAATGTAAATTTCTACATCATACATTCATGATATAAGAACAAAAATATACTCAAGTGTCAAACTTTTAATCCATCACTTTAGATTATTTGTTTTTACATATTCCCACTATACACTCTTTATACCAAAATATTATGAAATGTTTGGATGAAGTGTAACGAAATGATTTACAAGTACAATATTAGAAAGTGTTCCAATTCATGCTAAATGGTATCTTGCAGTATGAGGTTTCATATATTGTGCTAAGACTACACTACCAGACTCTGAATCCTCAATGTCATCGGGTAGCTGCTGGAGGTGTAATCTGAAAGGAATTGTCAAGCCATGTCGCCATCACAGCTTTGAAGGACACATGTAACTTATACCTCTAGTCATCCAGAACAACAGTTGACACTGTGGTGTTAAGCTAACTGCTCATAGAGGCTGAAGTCAGTTGGATACTCTTATCTGCAGTTGGGACTCTTCCACCAACAATGTCATCAGTGTTCCTCTTTGGCCTCAAAAGAATAATGAAGCATTTAGGAGCAAATATGCAACCCAACAAACCATAGCTGGATGCCAAGATTGCAAATATTTCCACAGCCACTTTAAACTTGCCTTTGGTGCTCAAGTAAGGAGGGACAAAAGAGATCCAGACGATGAAGAAGCCCAGCATCCCAAAGGTGATGCATTTTCCTTCATAATAATTATCTGGTAACTGGCGAGCCACAAAGGTTGTAAGGAAGCATAATAAAGCCAGGAAAACATCAATCCCAAACATAGAACATAAAAATTCTATGGAACCTTCATGGCATTCCAGAATGATCTTTATATTTTGAGATTCCATGTTCTTGTACACTCTTGGAGGTTCCAATATCAAGTAGGCAGTGCATACGCCAATTTGGATTACAACAGAGCTTAACACGATGATTTTCCGATAAAGAGGGTGGATAGATATAAATTGAGTTTTGGATTTGGAGATTCTGTAGGCTAAAAAGAGTGAAATAGTCTTTCCAAGAATGCACGACAGGCAAAGAGAAAATCCAAGTGCTAAAGTGATCTGGTGGGTCTTGCAGGACCAGTTGTATGGCTTGCCAATGAAAAGCATGGAAGAGAGCAATGTGATGACAAGAGAAACCTGAATGAGAAAGCTCAGGCCCCGGTCATTGGCGTTCACAAGGGGAGTGTGCCTATATATCACATACACAATTGTGACTGCCAAGACCACAAGGGCCCCAAAGATGGAAAGAATGACAAGTGTGAATCCCAAAGCCTCCTCGTAGGCAAGGAATTCCACCTCTTTCAACATACACTCACTCTTTTGTGTATTTGACCAATAGTCTTCTTCACACTGGTCACACTTCCTTTGACCTGTTAAACAAACAGAGAGTTGACTAAAAGAAATCCAATTTTCTCCTTCAAAAGCCTAGAACAGAGACTCTTTGAAAATCTCTTTATACCATTTTATCTCAAAAGAAGTGATCAAATGACTTTAGAGTGTCCAGATATTACAGATTGAGAATTATTTTCAAATTTGTAAATGCAATCTTCCTTCTTGGTTTGAGCCTTTCCTGGATAGGCAATTTCAGTAAAATGCCTTTTTCATTCTCTTCAAATTTTCTAATTGAGAAGGGAGATGTGTAGCCACATAAAGTCCAGAACAATCCACAAGTGGCTCCCATATATGAGAAAATTAAAGCCACAAAGGTGAAACAATCAAGAAAATTATAGCAAGGAAAAGGTTGATTAGAATACAAATGTTTTTGGTCCTCCACTCATCAACATTCTCACCTACTAAAGAGAATTTTGTCTTTGTCTATTCAGCTTTTCCCATCCCCACCCTTTAAGGAGAGTTTTGTTTTGTTTTGTTTTGTTTTGTTTTCATTTGTCTGTTTGAGAAAACAGGTAGAAAAGGACTGAGGAAAGAGGAAAGAAACAAAAACAACTACCATGTTGAGTGAGGTCACTTATTCTACTCTTAAGAGTTCAAGGAGGAACTGAGTTTTGTTCACATCTCAATTCCTTCAATACTCTCTCTACTCTGAAGAGTCCTTTGAAACCTAAATTCTCTTACTGAATCCTTTGCTTCAGGGGAAACTTTATGAGTTGTAATTCTTGCTTCAAAAACATAGAAAAGTTATCTATGTTAAGGTGTCATTAACAGGATGTTAACAACAGACAAAGGTTTAGGGTACTAGCTAGGCAGGAAGAATACTGAGACATAAGAAAAAAAATATTTGAGGAGGGTTTGTGGTAGGGTATGAAATGAATCTCTTTAATATTCTTTGAAATATGCAAGTAAATATTGGAATTTCATTTTAATCACTTTTGACTGTTGGACTGTGCTTCTCCAGATGCACCTCTGTGCAGAGACTGGACCATATAGGATCCAGGGGACTATCCAGGTTACATTATTCTTGTTTTCCATTCAAGGAAATTTTCTTCACTTTTAAAACTCTCCTTTAATTTAATTTCATTAAATTTGCGGGCCATTTGGTGAAAGATAAGAACAATTTGTGTTATCTTTAACAGAAGGTTTTATCCCTACAAATCTAAAAATATGTAGATTCTTTCTGTAAATCAATCTGCTAAGGCTAACCATGCCAAGCCCAAATTTAGCAAGTAATAGTGAAGAATTCACAGAGTAGTAGCTACATAATTCATCTGTCCAACAACTTTGATTACTTATGACATTAGGTCAGTTATCTTTAGAGATGTAAAATCAAACTCATTTAATTCCAGATTTTCTGATTCCAAATCAGAGATAATTAGAGAGCGAATAGACTGTAATTTACTTCTTTTCTGATTGTGAGCATACTAGTGTTTAATCTAGTTGAGAAGCATAAATAATTTTAAATGCTTTTTATGAATCTATTGTCTCATAATTTGCATTTCATATAGTTAACTTTGTATTTTTCTCTTTAACTTCATGGTTGTAGGTCTTTTGTCTCCTCAACCCTACCAGCTTTAGATCTAAAACCCAACATTATGTTTCTTCACATTGCACAGAACACCAATAATTTGATGTAGTATAATGATTTTTGTTAAATTGCTTACACCCATTTGTAAAGAAGACTCTCAAATACTTCTTTGTAAACATTTAACATAATTGCATATTCATATAGATGGAAAAAGTGACCATCTGTACCTGGGTCCCGTGACACGTATCCATCGGCACATGGAATACAGTCAAAGCAGCATATTGGTTCCCCCTGGCGAATCCCCTTCCGGGTCCCAGGAGGACACAGATCAATACACACTGAATGTGGAAGCTGGCAAAGACAAACAGAGTGCATGTAACAAAGCCCTTTGTCTCCACCACTCATGAGGATGAGAACTCGTGACAAAGTTCCAATCTAGATTTTGTGGAAGTTTTGTGATAGAGTTTCCCGGGATACCTGGGTGAAGATATGGACAGAGAATAATAACAACATGGATAACCTAGAGAGGAATTCTGCTACAGCTCAGTCTTGTGGCTGATTCTAGAAACATAAAACTTATTCTAAACCTAGCCCTAACCCTTGCAATCCAAAACACACTTCATAACCAGGGAACTCTGGAAAGGGGACAATTTAACAAATCTGTTTCCTGATTGGGAAAGGACCTGTGACCACAAGAATCTTCTTGAAAACGTAAAAAAGTTTTCTTCTCAGCAAGATAATCCAAGCAAAGCCTTAAAGTCAAAGATACGTCATAAGTGGTCAGTGGAAAAGAAAATGAAAGATCTATTCCAGGGGAAGATCAGAAAAGGCAAAAAGGAAAAATGTACAAGGCAAAGCATTGGAATAATTTTATATCTCGAAAAGCGTTTAGAGAGTTAGTTCAACAATAAACATGGGCCTCCATTTACATTCTGTATGAATGTGCACCTTGAAATCCAGTAGAAATACTTTGTCTGTAATAGGTTTATCCTAATAAACTAGGGAATTTCCTATTTAAAGGTGAGAAAAAAATGCATTTTGCATTAATTAAAATTCATATTGGAAAGTAAACGATCACATTTACAATTATTTTTGAAATTAGAATTTTTATATATTGGGTCTGTCAGGATAAATCTGTGTTGATAACATGAGAAAAATTAGAAGTATCTGAGTTAGGCTATGGTATGTAACATTGCAAAAATGCATGTTGCTATACACATGGATAGGTTTCCAATAAGTTGTGTGTGTGTGTGTGTGTGTGTGTATAATCATATTTTAAATGAACCTTGAGGAATAGTTATAATGGCAAGAGTGACAGCAAGGTATTCTCACACTCTGAATAACAAACAATAAAACCACAGAATGAATAGATCTCCTGTGTCTGACACAAGGTGAAAACTCAGAAATCTTTATTTCCTTCTCTCTCTTAGATTCTCCCCTAGCATGACCTAGAAGACTATTTGAGAATCTCAGATTAAAAGGGCTACACAAGAAGAGGGAAAATATATGAACAGGAAGATGAAGAAAAACCTTAAAAAAAAAAAAGTGACATGGCAACAAAGTAAAAAGTATTCTCCCTTTGTACTAACACAGCCCTCCACTCTCTCTCCTTTCCCCTAGTTCCTCTATTCTGAGAGTCACATGGAAGATTAAGTTCCCAGTGCTTTTCTACCACCATATCATTTTACAGTAACACTGTAGGTCACTCTGTAGTAAATACTAAACTAGAATATCAAAATTCCCATAGTTCTACTCTTCTAGAATAATATTTCACTAAAGGTAAAAAGTTCAGCTGCCTGGTAAGTCATAGGATTTCCCTTAACTTCCCTAGCTTTGTCTTTACACTGGGTATCCCTGGGACCAGTCTCTAGCTCACCACCACTTCTTTTAAAAATGTTCAGAGCTACAGGCCTGCATGTCAATAGCCTTCTTATTGCTGTAGGAGGAAGAAGAATATTTGTAATAGAAATGAGTAATAAGTAATGAAATAAATAAAAATGTATTAATAGTAAATAAGGCGCTTTGGTGGCGTAGTGCCTAAGGCACTTGACTGCTAACCAGCAGGTTGGCAGTTCAAACCCACCAGTCACATAGTGCCTAAGGCACTTGACTGCTAACCAGGAGGCTGGCGGTTCAAACCCACCAGCCACTCCTCGGAAGGAAGGTTGGGCAATCCTACTTCCGTAGTGATAACTGCCTCGGAAACCCAAGGAGGGGTCGCTATGAGTCGGGGCCGACTCGATGGCAAATAACAACAACAACAACAAGTCACTCCTCAGAAGGAAGGTTGGACAATCTACTTCTGTAGTGATACCACCTCAGAAACACAAGGAGGAGGGGTCGCTATGAGTTGGGTCTGACTTGATGGCACTTAACAACAACAACAACAATAGTAAATAATAACAAATAACAATAATAAATAGAAAAAATTATAATAAAAATAAACAGGTTTTTTTTTTACCTAGGATATTTTACATATAAAACCAATACATTTTAATTCTCAAACATTACCTCTACTACCTCTCACCACAATTTTGAAAATAACATTTTGAAAAGAATTTTAAAGCTTATGAAACATCATTTTATCCTATAATCTACCAATGAAGCATTTGTAAATGATAAGTACTTAAAGTTTATTAGCAAAACATAATTCTATGCACACCTACATGTACCACACTAGTAGCTCTTGTTCCCTACCTCAAATTATATTATGAACTGGTAACTCTTTCCTCCCATTCTTTGACCCCAGGTATAAATGAAAATTGAGAAGAGAGGAAAAAAAGGAAGTTCTTCCAGAATGGCTGTCAGAGAGGAAAGGGGAAGACATACATCAGTGTAATGGCAACTACTAACCTATGAGTGTCTCCACATGTACTCCACAAAAAAAAAGCCATGCAGATTAAAAAGAAGAGTAAATAAAATCACATGTGAGCCAGGTCTCATAAAGAATCTGAGAATACTATGAGCTTAACTGTATTCTTAAGTAAAGATACAGTCATTACATTCCAGCAAAGCTTCTCTGGAGCCTGGCCTGAACCCTGATTGTGTAGAAAATGAAGGGAATCTGAAGAAACTATGGAGGTAAAAAAAAAAGAGAGAGACAGAGAGTAAAGGGGAGGAGAGAACCTAAGGTTGATGGAGAATAGACAAAATCATTTTCAGCAAAATTCCCTCCTAAATGAAAACCATTTCAAAGCCTTGTGGATTCACCACTGGCTATGGGAAAAGGACTTGAAAGTGAGTCTCACAGGGATAGTTTGGGGAAGGCAGTGCTTCATGGGACCAGAAGGTATAGAGACAAGAAATTTTTCCTTTGAGATAAGAGCACAAAATTTAAAGATTCTACAAAAACAAGAGAGAACTATAAAATGAAAAAACACATGAAAACCCCACTCTCACTACCAAAAAAAAAAAAGTCATCTATTAAATAAATTGCACTTCACTAAGGCACTTGACTGCTAACCAGAAGACTGGTGGTTCAAACCCACCAGCCACTCCTGGGAAAGAAGGTTGGGCAATCTACTTCCATAGTGATACCGCCTCAGAAATTCAAGGAGGGGTCGTTATGAGTCGGGTCCGACTCGACAGCACATAACAACAACAACAACATACTAATAGAAGAGACTAGTCTCAAAATAGGAATCTCCTAAGTAACCCAAAACCCTTACCCTTGTCCGTAAAAATTACCAAAAAACAGAAGTGTGCCTTTACACAAGTCTACCATGGGGGAAAAAAAATAGAAAATGAAAATATTTCAGCAGATTAAAATTACCCTCTGTGGCGTGGCTCAGAGGCACAAATTAGGAGAAAAGTACTGTACACAGCATTTCTAACACAACTGAATATTCTCAGAAAAACATGAAGAAGTGAAAAAAAATTTTGAATTAAATTTTAAAACTAATAACAGAAAAGGATATAAAACTGGAAGAAATGAAACTAAAGGTAATTGTACTCAGGAAAGAAAGTAAATAAAAGACAAAAACATTTCAGAAATTAAGATAGAAATTACAAGGATTTTAAGAAAGAATATATTTAAATGAAAATTTAATAAGAAGCATTGAATAAAAGAAGGAACACAACAAAGAATGGTGAACAAAAAGATGAAACTGGTCATAGATAAAGTGTATGAAATGGAAGACAGACAACATATATCAACTTTAAGTATAACTGGAGTACTTGAAGAAGAAAAACAAAACAAACTAATATTTAAAATATAATCCAAGAAAAAGTTTTCAAAAACAAAAGATATAAATATGAAAAAGAAATTCACTTGGAATGGCCAAATTATGGGTGTCTGATGTTCCATAAATGCCTGAAACATTGATGATAGAAATGGAATTCTCTATGTATACAAACAAAATAAAATGTCAGAATAACTAACCTTTGATGACTCAGTGTTCCAAAATATTATTGCATTCTCTTTGATCACAAGTTCAAACTTAGATTTTGTGAATATATATTCTCCAACCTCCACAAAGGCAATCTCGCCATTATCATTTAATTGCCAATTTAGAATATCATAGTATCCAAACACATCTCCATTTTCATCAATCTCTATTCTTTTTCCATTATGGGTTGTAAACTTAAGTGTCTTCAAATAGAACATTAACTAGAAAACAAGGGAAAAAAACCAATTTGTAAAAATCTTATTGCCCAGAAACAACGTTATATAAAGAAAATAATTTCAAAATCATACTGAATTCATGTAATTGGATTCTTTCCTTTGCCTCTATACCTTTTCTGTCTAATACAATAACATGTGGCTATTGAAACTCGAAATATGACTGGGCATATTTAGATGTGCTATAAGTATAAAATGCACACTGTATTGAGAAGACTTAGTTAAAAAAAAATAATGTAAACTATCATGCCGGGGTCTCTCTGCCAGGGTCTCAGGTCAAGGACGCACTCCACTCCTGTTTCCACATTTTAGGTATCTGTCAGAGCAGCACCCCACTCTCAGTACCAAATTGTGTTCTGGTTACCTAGTGCCACTCTGACAAGAAGTATAACACAAATGGGATGGCCTTAACAAACAGGAGTTTATTCTTACAATTTGGAGGTTTTAAGTCCAAGTTCAAAGTGCCAGGCTCTAGGGGCTGGATGAAAGCCCCTCATATAACTAAATTCTGGCTAATTACATGGAAAGGCAATTGTATGCAATGTCCAGGAAATATCCTTAAATTTAAGAATATATCCATCTTTGCCCGTTCTCCTTCCTACTGGTTGATTGTGGACACAATAATTGAAGTCTGATCTTACATTATGAGGTGAACCTACATATTGACGGTGGTGAAACAACAAGATAAAAGGAGCTTAGAACCCTAAGTCACTCTTTCAGCCCTAGTATGTTTATCTCTGAATTTAATCTATGTGAAGAAGAAAGAGGAGGAAACAATGGGAAAAAAAAAAAAAAAAAACCTAAGCATCATTCACAACATACCTAATAATAACTCTTCTAATAAATAGGACCTGAAAAATGCCATTTGGTCACATAAGCAGGCCATTCTTTTAAGTGGGTATGTGATTGTGGTAGTTAAGTTCATTTGCCAACTTGGCTGGGCCTTGCTGGGTGGCTGGGCAGCTGGATGTAGTATTCCCCATGGTGAGATTGGTAATTAACTCCATGGTAGAATCTATTGGAGCATCTGACTAGCTACTTTAGGGAGATGGGCTGCTTCCAGTATATAAGACACAACTTTGAGGAAGCTTATGGCACTCTTGAACCCTGCATGCAGCTGAGTCTTCTTTCATTCAGTAGCCTGCCATGCTCTGCTGATCTTGGGACTTTCAATGGACTTGCATTAATGGCCTGCCATGTGGTTTGGTAACAACAGAACTGTGCTTTTTTACTTGTTGACCTTGGGTTTGTCAACCTCAGCAGCTGCCTGAGTGAAGAAAGCCTCCAGCTTCAGTAGGCTGGGAGCCAGAGGCAGAGCTGAAGCCCAAGGTCAAGGGGCTTTCACCCAGCCCTAGAGCCTGGCACTTTGTACTTGGACTTCTAGCCTCCAAAATTCTAAGAGGATAAACTACTGTTTGTTTGAGCCATTCCCATTTTGTAGTACATTTCTGTTAGACCAGCACTAAAAGTAATCAAAACAATGAGGAAATCCTAACTGTAAAGTACAAAGACAAATCATTAGATTTAATAGCATAAATTCTTGTAATTATCAAACTATTTCATGAAGTCAAACAAACAAACAAATAATAACTTACCTGCCAAGGCTCAAAGTCAGGTATATATGCACAAGTGTTTCCTGGAACATATGGTCCATATCCTTCTTCACATCTACTTAGATGATCCAGGGCATAAGCCATAGAATATACAGCTTGTTTGACATTGTTTGTAATTCTTAGCTGTGACACATCCAGGTAGGTATTTTTAAGATCCTCCAACTTCTCCTCTCCAGTACAGAATTTATCAGACATGGCATATAACCTGTCCTCTTTACCAGTCATATTCACTCTGTGGTCAATATTGTATGGAACACTACTATTGGGCCAAGTACAGTTAAAAGCGGTTTGCCAGAATTCAATGGTCAGAACATCATTTGGATCCTTGCTAGGATGTACATCATAAAGAAATTCTTTTAATCCTGGTATATCAGCTCTTGGTATTGCAAATCCAATAGTTCCACCAAAATATGGGAAATATTTAGGCTTTGCAATGAGGGCTGAGGTAATCCAGGCCTCAGTTGCTATCCATGTTCGGTCAGTTATGTTATGGTAAACTATTTCCAGCACAAAAGGACTGAGGTCAATATCAGATGCATAGAGCACAATTACTCTGGCAGTGGAGTACTTTATAGCATTTATAGCTTGTTGCATTTTCTCATTGGAATAGACTTTAGGAATGATTTCAGAAAATGCAATACAAAGGTTGACAGCTTCCATTTCTTCCTTTAAATTTTTCACTCCATATTTTCCATAATCATCATCAGCTGCTATAGTGCCTATCCAGACCCAACCAAAGTGTTGAATAAGTTTTACCATGGCTGACGACTGGCTTTTATCACTAGGTATTGTGCGAAGATAAGATGGAAACTGGTACTTGTCACTAAGAATTGAGCAGGTAGAAGCATAGCCCACCTACAATTGAAAATATTCATGCAGAAATTAGAAAGCCATAGCCACATTTCAAATTGCACAATGCTTGAATATATTTATCAGAAAAGAAGAGAACTTTAACAGTTCTTCTCCCTTTGTTCCCACCTCAGTCCATTGACAAAAGAGCTTCTACTCCTTTCTCTATTCTGTGGGTGGAGACTGTTGAAGGAAATATTTTGCACTTCTCTCTACACCCCTTTTCCCATGACATTCCAAGAGAGTTAGAGGAGCAAATTACTAAGATGATGACATTCAGTGCGCCACTTTTCACAAATGGGGTCACAGCATGGAGTGCATAAGGTCATTATGCTGTTTCTCAGATCTAACTTCTCATCCATATAGATGAGTGGACTCAGCCTCTTTTTGACATTCAGTTTCCTCTCTTCTCTCTCTCTCTCTGTCTCTATCTCTTTCTCCTTTCTCTTTTTCTATCTCTATCTCCACTTCCACCCAACCTCTCTTTCCTTCTTTCTTTCCTTTTCTTGCCTCTGCGCAACACCTCCAGGACTTCTGAGTATGTAGGTCAAAAAGTGGTAGTAAGCTTTACTTCTGCCTCAGATCTGAGCCATGTTCTCTAACAATGTGACTGTTGTTGTCAGGTGCATTTTAGAGGAACTTGCCTAGATGAATGAAGGGGTATTTTTTTCTCATTTAGCCACTGATCCTTGAGTGTATTTTCCACCATTGAGAACTTAAGAATGGAGGAAAGATAACTAGTACCATGAATTCCTGATAGTCTTCTATTCATTTCTTCTGTGTAGCTTATCCTCAACCTCAGTGACTACAATTAAGAGTATACGTCACTTTCTTCCCCATCCTATCCCATTCCTATCCCATGTTATTAATACATCACCTACAATAGGGCCTCCTATATTATAATTCCATACATGTATGACTGTCCATTCCTCAATAGGTTCCAGAATATTCTTATTTCCCCTTTCTGTATCGCTTCTTTTGTTTTCATCCCACTGGTTAATGTTTAAATCCTCCTTTGGAACTACCCAAACAGCAACCCATGGAAGTAGCATGTACAGAAGAATCCTGTTAAGGAAGTAGTAACATCTGATTTCTAATTCTGACTACATAATCATTAGTGTATGACCTTGGACAAGTCACTTAAACCTTCTGAACCTCAGTGTCCCCACAAGTGAAATCAGAGTCATGACATTTACACTTTAAGGTTGCTCAGTATATTGAATAAGGAGCTCTGGTGGCATAGTACCTAAGGCATTTAACTGCTAATTAGAAGGTTGGTGGTTCAAACCCACCACCCGCTTAGGGAAACGAAGATGAGGCAATCTACTCCATAAAGATTTACCACCTCAAGATCCTGGATAGAGTGGGAGAACAATATGGAACAAAACTCAAAATCATAAAAAAAAAAAAAAAAAAAGACCGGGTTTACTGGTCTGATAGAGCCTGGTGAGACCCCAGAGACTATGGCCCTCTAGTTACACTTCAAGTCTGGAAATGAACTCACTTCCTGTGGCTTCCAGCCAAACAATAGACAGGCATATGGGGTAAACATTTACATCAGATAGATACCCTCCTTGGAGCCATCAATTGTGGGAGAACAGAAGGGCAGTGTTTGCACAGGGAGATAGCAGGGGGTGGGGGGTAGGGGTGGGGACAGAATCTATGGGAGGAAAGAACACAGGGAAGACATAACTATGGCGAGGAAGTGGGAATAGAGCTGTTACATTGTGGGGAATTGCAGTTGACGTCATGAAACAAAATGTATATGAAATGCTATATGGAAAATGAATTTTCTCTATAAACTTTCACCTAAATCACAATAAAAATTAAAAAAAAAAAAGATTGACTGCCTCAAAAACCTAATGAAGGTCGCTATGAGTCTGAATAGACTTGATGGCAGTGGGTTTTCAGTAGTAAATTGAATGAGATAACAAATGCAAAAGTGTCTCTTGTAGAAGATTCCTTTCACCATCTTTGCAGATTCATTACAAGGACTTCAGTGAGAAAATTCATCCAGAGGTTTCTAGCCAGGGTCTGGCTCACAGTTGGTATTAGGTGGAAGATAGCAGTCATAGCAGCAGCATTTTGTCTGAGCCAGATGAAACCCACACTTTAGGTGTCAGCTGTGTCAGGCAACCCTTCATCTTGGTTCTGTTTCTCAGTATTTTCCTGTTCCTCCTACACTTCTAGTTGCAGCTTTCAAAGAAACACTATGCAACTGCTGCTTCTTACAATTATTTCAAAGTCTCCCTTTATTCCCTAAAACAAATTAGCTTAACCATCACTCACATTGTTAAGTCCTAACTATTGATACTTTAATGAACCATCTTATAAATAATTATAGTCATATTATATTTTCTTAATAATGCATTCTCCCAAATATCAACTATAATTATGCTGAAATGTGTCACTGTCTCTAAATTTAAAATGATCTGTAAAGTTAGCATCCCAAAACCCTTGCGAGCCTGTTAAATCCCAGGCCTGTTTTAGTATGTTAGTTAGTATATTAGTATATTAGTATGAAAGGGCTAAAAGGGTCATGAATAATAAGCATTAATATAGGCAAGAAATGAAATGAGTTCCTTATACCATCTATCAATCAATCAACAAATATGTACTTATCACCTACTCTGTGCTTCATACAGTGCTACAGTTTTATTTAAAAAAAAAAAAAAAAGTTGCTGTCAAGAAGATTCTGATTCATGGTCACCCCACAAGTAGAATTGCTTCATAAGGTTTTCTTGGATGTAATCTTTATAGAAGCCAATCACTGGGCTTTTTTTCCATTGAGCTCCTGGGTAGATTCAAACCACTATCCTTTAGGTTAATGTTGTTGTTGTTATGTGCCGTCGAGTCAGACCGACGCGTAGCGACCCCTCCTTGGGTTTACAAGGCAGTATCACCACGGAAGTAGATTGCCCCATCTTCGTTCTGATAGGTTAGTAGATGAGTGCAAATTCTTTGTGCCACCCAAGGACCTTCTACAGTCTGTAGTGGCTACTGAAATAGCAACATACTAGTCATCGGGTCAAAACTTCAAGCGAAAAATTAAAGCAGTATGTGGAAGAGGTTCAAATTACCCCTAAGCAGGCATCAGTCACACTGGCTGAGGCCAGGCTGAACTGTCCTCAGGTGGTACAAACGGTTAATGTCCTTGACTGCTAATCAAAAGTTTGCAAGTCTGAGTCTACTTAGAGGCATCTCAGAAGAAAGGTGTGCCAATGTATTTACAAAAAAAAAAAAAATCACCCGTTGAAAACCCAATGCAGTGAGTGCAGTTCTACCCTGACACAAGTGTGGTCACCATGAGTCAGAGTCGACTCCATAGCAACTTTCTTTTGTTTTTTAAAAAAGCCTAGACTAACACAGCAATTGGGGACAGCATTATCACCACCATTCCTGTCTGTCTCTGCAATTCAGCCCAGCTTCACCTGAGCACCTTAGTATTTGCTGCAATTTCCACAAACATAGCTTGTTTCTTTGTAAGTTAGTACCCAGCACAATAATCTGAGATACCTGAGGTAAATAATACAGCCCAAGAATTCTTGAAGCAGCAATTGATAAGGATGACCCACCTGCTCCAATAATTCCTGCCAGATATGCTCCAGTGCTGTTTCTAAAATTAGGCTTGTTTTCTTCCTGTCCTGTAAGGAAAACCAAAGCTGCTTCCACTGATTTGGAGATGGAGAAACAGGTATCAAAGATCTGATAGCCCAAAGTGATGTTGGGCAAAATATCCTTCCTCTCATTAATCTCCTTGATTGTGTGCATCATGGTTTTCATCCAGCGGAATCCGCGAAAGTTAAACCTGAAAAGGAAGTAGCTTTGTAAGGCCTTATTCAGTAGGCTCATTATAGGGAAAAAGGCAGATTTTAGTTGGGGTGGTGATGCAAATGTTTTGCCAGAACATCAGCAAGCACCTCATTTCTCTGAAGTATGTCAACATTTCATAAATGATATCTCAAGCTTGGGTGATTCAGTATGAACTATATTCACTGTTGATTGCTTTGGTTGGGTGCACCTTTCCGGAAGTATTTGTGCCATATATATATATATGTATTTTATATATATATATATATATATATATATTTCAGATTATATAATCCCCAAAACTGTTAATTAGATCAATTCACAAAAATATCCTTACATTCACAATTTTCTTCACCACACCAGACACCCAATAATCCCTCAATTCATTTTTCCCATTCTTTGGGAGCCCCTGGTGCCATGTAATTCTCCTTTCCTTCCTCCTCACATTCTTAGTAGTTTCTCTTATTTTCTTCTGGACATTAATTATCATTATAAAAATTATGTAGATACATGAATACTTATAAGAGTAAATAAAAGCAGTACATTATACACACACACACACACAAAATGACTCCAATTACATAATTTTTCTTGCCATGATTTATTAATGTTGAAAGATTTTTTTAATTGAAAAATGCTCCACTTCCTACTATTCTTATATATTGCCATAAATTAAATATCTTCTCCTTCCCTTTCCTAGACACTAAAAGAGGATAATATTTCTCTTGTAGTCCATCACCACATTTTTTTAAATTTCAGGACAAACAGGAGTGCATGATTATGAGGGGCCCAGGGGGTGTGTTGCAGGGTATGGAGGGGAGGAGGCTGGGTTGGTGTTGGATATGGTGAATGGGGAATGAAACTAAATATATGCATGACTTTGAATGTAAAATAAGCTCTTAAAAAAATAAAAATAAAAGTAGAAGTAACATTTATTGAATATTTTTAAAAAAAGTATTCTATTCCCAATTCTCTTTTGTTCTTTTAGTTTTAACCAAACTTTAACCTATTTTAAAACAAAAATCCAAGTCCTTTTCTCTCTTAATATCTTCTGTAGCTATAGATCTAACTCTGTGTTTTAATGTCTTATATCCAATAAATATTTGTTGAATTAAATTTCTAATAGCAAACGGCCTTAATGATAGATTGCATTTTCTCCACCACCATCTGCCTTTAGTTGGGTGTTTTAGTTTGGTTTTGTTTTTCATTTAACACATAGTTATTGAGTCCCATTGATGCTGTTGTTGTTGTTGTTGTTTGTTTAGGAGCTCTGGTAGTGTAGCTACTATAAATACAACAGTGAAAAAGATAGGCATGGCACTATAGAGGTGGAATCAGAAATGTAGCCAATTACAAAATAAAATTATAAGTTACATCATAGGAGTAGGCACAGGGGTTCTGAGACATAAAAAGAGGAACACTTAGCCCTGACGGGATTAATAGCCAAACTGAGGCTTGAACAGAGGAAGAGCATTGCAAGCAGAAGGAACAGTATGTGTGAAGGCATAGCAACAAGAAAACATGAAACGTTCAAGGAATGGGAAAGATCAGTGTGTTTGGAGAATAGGAGTAGATGAGGGAGCAGTGAAAACTGAAACTAGAGAACTAGAAGGGGCCATGAATGGCTCTGTCGTACGTGTTTTTCAAATTTACATTGGTATACATATATAAATTGCTATACATTTTTGAAATAAATATAGCAATATCTCTTTTAAAGTAACATGGCAATACATTTCAAGAACTAGAAAAATGTGTACCTACTTTGAGCCAATAATTCCATCTCTAGGAATTTTCAGAAGAAATTGGTCTTCCCAAAAGAAAAAGCTATATAATCAAAACTGTTTGTTACAGAATTATTTACAGTATTAAAAAATGAGAAAGAACTTACTTCCCTCGCAATAATAAATGATGGTATATTGACTTGATGGGAACAATTCTACCACTAAAAGGTATAATTAGAGAATTGAACAACAGTATTCACATAATATTAAGTTAAAAAGGCAGTATGCAAAGTTGTTTCCATACTATAGTTAACAATATATATAAATTTTATGAACATTTGGATAAAAATTAACAAAGAATTATTTTAAATGAACACAGGTTGGAAGGGCAGAACTTGGGATGATTTTTTTATTCATTCATTGATATCCATTATAATATTCACAGCCCAGTTGTACAATGTATATATTTTTCCCACAGAAACATTCTGTAATTCCTACCTTTGTTTAGATCAACCAAAACAGAAAGAAAACACTCTCTTCCTCATTCCATTTCACTGCTTTTCTCTGCTCTAAGCAATACTTTTTTTAATAATAGAAAAATCTTCCTCTTCCATGCATTTTGGTTGATGGCCAACCAAAACTAAAATCTTGTT